CGCTGAGCAAAAGTGTCTGACCGTACTCTACCGCCCTCCTTGGCGAGCTTTGGAATGGGAGCGAAACAGGGCGTGAGTGAGACTTGATGTGAGTGGGTCATGGCCTGGACGAGTTCGCATGAGTCATTGATGATAAGTGCGACCTGGATCCTGGCGCATCCTGGGACCTCCTGGAGCCTCCTTGGTCCTCCTGGGGCCTCCTGGGGCCTCCTGGGGTTTCCCCCCCCCACCTCTCGGGTTCCCCCTCTCCGACCCCGACCCCCCTCTCTCCAACATCTCCCCCGGCCTCTCCCCTCTGGGGTTTCCTGGGGCCTCCTGGGACGAGGACTACGCGGGGCATCCCGGGACTCTCCCCGCAGTTCCCCCCCCTCCCCCCCATTGGAGGTCTAAGTGCGATACGCCTGCTACATCGCAATGCTCATAGGGTTCTGCAGTTCTCGTCTACTGGACCATCAAGGGCGTCTCGCTTGATAGGTTCCACCAATCTGGGCGCGAACGGGCCCATGACACACTCTTGGTCAACACCCCTTGAGGGGCTAAATGATGAGACAGGTCTACTTCCCAACACCAATTGTCCGGACGCGAATGGGCCCAAAGCCAATGCCTCTACATTGCGGTGGTCATGAGGTTCTGAGAGCCGATTCGTCTGCTGGGCTGGACCAGGCGTGTCGCCTGACGGATCCCGACACTGGGCGCGCACGGGCCCATCAAGCAACCCTGGTCCACACCCCGGCGGGGTGCCCGCACGCCATGTCGGCTACATCGCGGAAAGTACGGGGCTCTGAGACGAGGTTTGCCCATTGGGCCAACACGGGCGCTCCTTATGAAAGGTTCAGACGATCAGGGCGCGAACAGGCCCATGAAGCATTTTTGGTAGAGTTTTTTTGAGGACCCATCAAGTGCCATGCTTAGTACATCAATCGTGACCATGGGGCTCTGAGAAGAGCTTGCTTGTTCCCTTGACCAAAACGGTCGTGTCGCCTGAGAGGTCCCAGCGATCTGGGCGTGAACGGGCCCTTGGGACACCTTCGGTCGACCCCTCTTGGTTGGGCTGGGCTAAGTGCAATGCCTGCTACATCGCTGAGATCATGAATGGACTTTGGGAATAGGCTTGTCTACTGCGCAAGAACAAAAGCATCGCTGCAGAGGTCAGGGAACTGTTGGCACAAGGAGGCTTGCACATCGCGGTGGTCATGGACAAAAGCGGGCGTTTCGCAGAGAGGCCCCGGCGATGCAGGCGCGAATGAGCTCATGAAACGCCCTTGGTCGACACCACTCAGGATATCCCAAACCGATGCCTGCTACATCGCGGTGATCGGGTGGCTCTGAGAAGGGGCTCGTACGGTTTCGCTTCAAAGGTCCTGACAACCCGGCCGCGAACGGGCCTGTGAAAAGCCTTGGGTCGACATCCTGTGGGAGGACCTGCAAGCGGCATGCCTGCTGCACTGCGACGATCGTGGGGATCCGAAGCAAGACTCGTCCACTGAGCCCACGCGGCCGTTGCGCCTGAGAGGCCTGGACACTCGGAGCGCGAACAGGCTGGTCAAACACCTCTGGTCGGCATCCCCTCCGGGGGTCTCAAGCGCAACGGCTGCTTCATCGCGGTGGAGCTGTCACGAGACAGCTGCTGACTGGGCCCAAACGGGCGTTTCGCCTGAGATGCCTGCCCATCTTGGGCGCGACTGGGCCCTCGAGGCACTCCTGGTCGACGCCTCGCCCGCGGGGGGGGGGCTCAGAAGCGAGGTCTGCTACACTGCGGGGACCAAGTGGCTCTGAGAAGAGACTGGTTTGCGGGACCAGAACGGGCGTTTCGCCAGAGTGGTCCACGCACATCTGGGCGCGAACGGGCCAATTTAAACCCCCTGGTAGACAAGCCGCTGGAGGGACCCAGCGCCATGACTGTTGCATTGCGGACAGATGAATGACGAGTAAATGTGCGCATGGTGAATTTGTCTGGCTACGGGTGATCGTGTGTGAGTGACTTCGAATATGAGTCTACTTGTATGTATTCGTGTGAGTGTGATCATGGGTGAGCCTGAGTCTGTATGAATTTGGACAAGAGCGGATCTGGGTTTGAGCGAAAGCGAGTCTGAGTAAGTATGAGTGCAAAGTATGTCTGCATGAGCTTGAGTCAGGGTTTGAGAACGTTTGAGTCTCAGCGAACCTGAGCAAGAGAGGGAGGAGCCATGGAGAAGGGAGGCGCTGAGGGAGGTGACGTGTGGAGGAGGATTGGGAGGAGTCAGATGCGGATGCGCCGCGCTGATGAGTGACAACAGCCTCTTTTTTTAGAATCAGGGGGATCAGCTTGCAGGATGTCGGGACACGCGCGCTGAAGCCCCCTTTTCCTGGGGTATCAGGGGGGACAGGGCACGTACGGAACTCATGTCCACAGTGAGGCTCGGAGGGCCTGGGAGCCCCCCCCTCTCAGACGGCATATTGGATCTCAACGGAGGGGGAACAGGAGAGGGGAGCAGCAAAGGGGGAACAGGAGAGGGGGAACGGGAGAGGGGGAACAGGAGAGGGGGAACGGGAGAGGGGGAACAGGAGGGGGGGAACAGGAGGGGGAACGAGAAGCCATGCACGGCAGCCGTTCGAGAGGCACCGCGCGTGCTTACCGAAAGAAAAACAGGAGATGGGGAGCAGCAAATAGTCTCGCAGGTCTTCCCTCGGCCCCAGGCGTCGCACAGAGCATGGGACGGCATGGTTTCCGCGGCTTCGGCCTCTGGGCCGTAAAACAAAAAAATACCGGAGTGAAAGTCCAGTCCCCGGGATCGAGATCCCAAGGAGCCCGCGTTGTGTGGTCGGCGGACTTCATGTCCACGCCACCCTCGCCAGTCCCTCGCAGAGGTTGAGCAGGAGCGGGGGTACAACAGGCTTGTTCCGAGCCGACGCGGCGGCGACCCCAGCGCGGGCGTTCACAATGCTGCACGCCGCCAGCGGCCGGGAATCGGCCAGCAGTGGGCGACCCGCGCTTTGGTAAAGCCGCGCTCGCTCCCGGTTGAAAGCCGTGCCAGGAACCAGCCCATACAACGGTGTGTTTTTATCATTGTGCGACCCCAGATGTCTCGACGCCTTCCCCAGGGGGTGTTTTTCGTCCCAGATAATTTGATGATGCTCTCGGGGGCCAGTGACGAGCCATGGATCCGCCACGCGCAGAGATGGTGGGGGGGGAGGGCTTCTTAGAAGGACCCCTGCCTCTTAGAAGGCGCGGGCCTTATCTATAGATGCAAGGCCGGCGCCTTCTAAGAAGCAGCCTCCTTCGAAGAAACCCTCCCCCCTCCCTCCACCCCCTTTGTGTGCGCCGCCAAATGGAAGCCGACGACCAGAAAAACGTTTGGGTTTACGGTCGAGGTCACTCCGCCAGTTCAGGAACATTGCACTTCGGCGCGACACGCTATCCACCTCCTGGAGGGTTTCTCCGAAGGGCTTCGGCGACCCGTCCTCCTCCTCCTCCTCCTCCTCCTCCTCCTCTTCCTCTCCTCCTCCTCCTCCTCCTCATTGTCCTCTTCCTCCTCCTCCTCTCCTCCTCCTCCTCCTCCCTCCTCCCTCTCCTCCTCCTCCTCCCCTCCTCCTCCTCCTCCTCCTCCTCCTCCTCATCTCTCCTCCTCCTCCTCCTCCTCCTCCATCTCTCCTCCTCCTCCTCCTCCTCCCTCCTCCCTCCTCCTCCTCCTCCTCCTCCTCCTCCTCCGCCTCCTCCTCTCCTCTCTCCTCTCCTCCATCCTCCTCCCTCCTATCCCCTCCTCCTCATCCTCCTCCTCCTCCTCCTCCATCTCCTCCTCCTCCATCTACTCCTCCCCTCCTCTCCCCCTCCTCCCCTTCCTCCTCCTCCTTTCTCCTCCTCCTCCTCCTCCTCCTCCTCCTCCTTCCTCCTCCTCCTCCTCCTCCTCCTCCTCCTCTCCTCCTCCTCCCCCTCCTCCTCCTCCTCCATTCATCCTCTCCTTCTCTCCTCTTTTCTCCTCTTCCTCCATTCCTCCTCCTCCTCCTCCTCCTTCTCCTACCTCCTCCCCTCCTCCTCCTTCCTCGTCCATCTCCTTCTCCTCCATCTACTCCTCCCCCCCCCCCCTCCCCTCCCCTCCTCCTCCTCCTCCCTCCTCCTCCTCCTTTCTCCTCCTCCCCCTCCTTTCTCCTCCTCCTCCTCCTCCTCCTCCTCCTCCTTTATGTCCTCCTCCTCCTCCTTTTCCTCGGGTCGCCTACGGCCCCGGGGGAAACCGTGCACCTCCCCGTCCTCAGGATTCCACGTGCTGAGCCTTTCCGAGCTTCCGCTTGAAAGGCTTAGCATATCGCCGGAGCAGCCGCGGCGACATGCCAAGCAAAAGTTCCTTCCCGTCGCCGAAGCGCATCGTCGGAGAGTTGGGATAGCCAGCGTCGTCTCGGCACGGACCTGCCATACAAACACACGCGAGTCGCCAAGGAGGCCACCATGAGCGGGAGGGCGTCGTCGTCGTCGTCGTCGTCGTCGTCGTCGTCGTCGTCGTCGTCGTCGTCGTCCCCCCTTCGTCGTCGTCGTCGTCCTCCTCCTCGTCCTCGTGGTAGTCCTCCTCCTCTTCCTCCTCCTCCTCCTCCTCCTCCTCCTCCTCCTCCTCCTTGTCCGCCTCCCCAGACGCTCCAACCTCCTCCTTGTCCGCCTCATTCTCCTCCTTCTTACGCCGTTCTCCTCCTTACGTCCTCCGTGGTCACGACACGGACCTGCCGCACGGAAACGCGCGGGCCGCCAAGGAGGCCCCCATGAGCGAGAGGACGTCGTCGTCGTCGTAGCTCTCCTCCTCCTCGCCCGCCCCTCCTCCTCCTCCTCCTCCTCCTCCTCCTTCTCCTCCTCCATCTCCCTCCTCCTCCTCCTCCTCCTCTCTCCTCCTCCACCTCCTCCATGTCCTCCTCCTCCTCCTCCTCCTCCTCCTCCTCCTCCTCCTCCTTACGTCCTCTGTCGTTACGTCCCCTGCCGTCGCGGCGACGACGTCGTCACGACACGGACCCGTCGCACGGAGAGAGCGCGGGCCGCCAAGGAGGCCCCCGCGAGCGGGAGGGGCGCCGCCCCCCTGCCGGCGGCGGCGCCGCAGAGGCGCCCCGCCCCTCCGCCCGCGCACGGAGGAAGCTCGGAGCACTCTCCCCGGATCGCGTTTCGCCGCTTCGCGGGAGGGGTCCTGCGAGTGGCAAGAAGAGCGCGGCGGGAGAGCCTCACAGGGGGGGGGGGGCGGGGAGCCCGATGGCGCCCGGCCGGCGGCCGTCTCGCCTATACGGGGTTTCTCCACGGCGTATGCCGGACTCGTGCTCTCGCTGCGGTGCTGGCTGCATGTCGGTGTGGACGGCCGCGATCCTTGGTGAGCACATGCGCTCGGGTTCACCTGGCCGTGCTTTGCAGCTGTGGGGCACCCCGCCCAGATTTCCAAAGCATATGGCCTATCATATGACTGATGACTCTTGCGGCTCTCGGCCTCCCGGGGGCTGCTTCCAGGCCGCGCGGTCGTCAACGCACGATCCGGGGCGCAGAGCCGATTCCCGGGGAGCGGTCGGGAGGTCCAAGCCGGGTGCTGCAAGAAGTGCCCCTGGCCCAAGGTGCCCCCAGGATTCCCAAGGAGGCCCCCACGGCCTCCAGAGCGCCCCTGACGAGGCCCTGGCGACCCCGAGGGCTCCAACGTGGAACGACAAGCTGGGAGCACCTCGGGCCAGGGGCACCTTTGGCGCCCCCCTGGTCCGGGGACACCGTGTGAACAGACGGCAAGACATCGGAGGCCTGGGCGTGGCGCGCCCTCGCGGCCGCAGGTCGGATGCTCCTCGAGGCTCCGTCTTTCAATTCGCACGCCCATCTACAAAGGCTGGGGGGTCGACCCTGGACTCCCGCAGCTCACATCGCTGTGGAGCGGGAGGGGGCTCTGGAGGCAGGAGGCCCCGGGGAGTCTTGTAGGCTCTTGGAGGCGCCCGGGGGGTCCTCCGGCGGGCCCGCGGGGCCGCAGCGAACTGCCCGCGCGGACGAAGCGCGGACGAAGCGCGGGCCCGTTTCCACCAGGGGACCGCCGGCCCTCACGACAGCCCTCTGCCTCTCCTTCGGGGGCCACCGTGCCTCCCGGGACGCCCCAGAAAGCCCTGCAGCAGGGCCTCGGGGAGAGGCGGGCCCCCTCCTCTTGCTCCTCCTCGCGGCCCGCTTTCGCTGGGCTCTTGGCCTCTGGGCCCCCCCCCTCCCTGGGCCTCCTGTGGCCTCCTGAACTCCACCTGGGGTTTTCTGAAGCCTCTTGGGGCTCCCAGGGGGGATATCTAACCTGTGGCCGTTTGGGCCTCTCCAAATGGAGGGGGGGGCACAAGAGCAGGAAAAATGAACGAATCGACACCGGATGTGGATTAACTTGACACGTTCTGATAGGCGGCTTCCTGGGGCCTCCTGGGAGCCCCCTCGTCGCCGCGGCTGGGTCCCAGCTCGGGATCCGGCGGGCCCCCCCGGGAGCGAGTTCTGCGCGCCTGGCTCGAGCCAAAGGTCTGCCTCCTGGGGAGCTTCCAGGCCCGCGGGGAATCCGAGAGGTCCGAGGTTTGGGTTCAGTCGGGCGTGGCCCTCTGCAGGAGGAATGTTCAAAAACAGTAACGAGTAGTATGGGGACAATTTTGTGACTATTCTTGACCATTTTTGAATCGATGTATTTTGACATTTTTTTTTGTTTTTGCGTCCAACATACGTCTGTGGGGGACATGCCCGACCTAAGGTTAGGATGGATCTGCGTCCGCCGCCTGGGAGCCTGGTCTTCCGGGACCTCTGGAGGCGGGGGATATGGATTTGCTTGGGCCCCCTGGGGCCATGCAGTCGGGGCGCTGAGGAAGGAACCCTTTTTGTCGGGGAGGGGCTCGGTGCTCCTTGACCGTTTTACAATGTGCCTTGGGTTTTCCTCAGATGTTCCATGGGAAATCGAAGTTTCACTTATGGGGAAGAGGGGCCTCGTTCCTTATTTAGGTTCCTTAGGTCAACGCCCCGATTGTGTACATATATATATAGATGTATGTATTGCTCCAGGTTGGCAGTCCCATGATGCTTGCATGGGCTTACGGATTCACTCGGCCAATGACTTTTCCGCTGGCCGTTCTAGCAGGTGCCACAGCTGTATGATGGCTGCCGCCTGCTCTTTGGACCATCGCATATCCATATCCGCCGCCCCGTGGGGACCGAGGACATCGGCTCCCCAGGCGATGGATATGGATAACCTCCCGCCTCGCAAGAGGGGGGGGCAGTCCCTCTTGCAAGGAGCCCGCTCTGAGATGGAGCGCTTAAGTTTCGGACGCCCGGGGTCGGCACATACACACCCACATGCACATTCATGGGTATACATGAATACCTATACAACCACCCTTCGGGTGATAAGGGGGTTTTGGGGGGGGAGGGGGGGGGAACCAACATCTGACTCAATCGATCTCACTATCGATGTCGCTCAACGGGACACCACGGGACACCACGGGACTCTTGTCGATCTCCTTATCGATCTCATTGTCGATCTCACTCAATGGGACACCACGGGACACCACGGGCCACCACGGGACACCACGGGACACCGCGGGACACCTCTCGATCTAACTATCGGTCTCGCTATCGATCTCACTGTCGATCTCACTCAACGGGACACCATAGGACTCCACAGGACACCACGGGACACTTCGGGGCACCACATCGATCTCAGTATCGGTCTCACTATCGATCTCACTATCGATCCTACTCAACGGGACACCACGGGACACCACGGGACACCTGTCGATCTCACTATCGATCTCATTGTCGATCTCATTTTTTGGGATACCACGGGACACCACGGGACACCTCGGGGCACCACATCGATCTCAGTATCGGTCTCATTATCGATCTCTCTATTGATCCCACTCAACGGGACACCACGGGACACCACGGGACACCTGTCGATCTCACTATCGATCTCACTATCGATGCCACTTTTTGGAACACCACGGGACACCACAGGACACCTCGGGGCACCACATCGATCTCAGTATCGGTCTCACTGTCGATCTCACTCAACGGTACACCACGGGACACCACGGGACACCTGTCGTTCTCACTATCGATCTCACTATCGATGCCACTTTTTGGGACACCACGGGACACCTCGGGGCACCACATCGATCTCAGTATCGGTCTCACTATCGATCTCACAATCGATCTCACTCAACGGGACACCACGGGACACCACGGGACACCTGTCGATCTCACTATCGATCTCACTGTCGATGCCACTTCTGGGGGACACCATGGGACACCACGGGACACCTCGGGGCACCATATCGATCTCACAATCGATCTCACTCAACGGGACACCGCGGGACACCACGGGACACCTGTCGATCTCACTATCGATCTCACTATCGATGCCACTTTTTTGGACACCACGGGACACCACGGGACACCTCGGGGCACCACATCGATCTCAGTATCGGTCTCACTATCGATCTCACGATCGATCTGACTCAACGGGACACCACGGGACACCGTGGGACACCGTGGGACACCACGGGACACCGCGGGACACCGCGGGACACCACGGGACACCAGGGGACACCGCGGGACCGCTAGGGCCACCGCCGGACGGACGGACGGAGGATAATCATTTGTCTTGGCTTCGCCCTAGCTACGGCGGACACCACGGGACACCACGGGACACCGCGGGACACCGCTAGGGCCACCGCCGGACGGACGGAGGATGATCATTTGTCTTGACTTCGCCCCAGCAACGGCGGACACCACGGGCCCACACCACGGGACACCACGGGACACCGCTGGACACCGCTAGGGCTACCGCCGGACGGACGGAGGAGAATCATTTGTCTTGACTTCGCCCTAGCAGCGGCGGGTTCATTCCTCTCGCGCGCCCACTCAGCCTCGCCTCGCCCTTACGCACGACACAAACGAAACGAAACGATCTCCTGGATGGAGGTCTCCGTTCCACTGCGATCTCACCCCCCAACCTCCGATATACACACGCACACACGCACGTGCACATTTTTATGCAGGCATATGCGCACACGCACACACCAACCTACCTGCTGTATACACACACCTATATATATATATATAGATACACACATACTTCTTCTCCTATACTGATATCTCCCTGGACGGCCCCCACCCCTCCGTCACCTAACGATTTTCGGCCCCTTCGCGCGCACCAGGCGCTTTCGCCACAGCTCCGAGACGGTCCCCTATCGTTTCCATCGATCCGCCGACGGTCAAGACTCCCTGGGCGGTCGCTCCAACACGGACCAAAAGCCGCCAAGACGGCCCGCGCTGGCGTCAATGCAGTCTACAAGGCCAGGCCCCAGATACATCTCACGCTGGCACCAAGAGGACCCCCAAGAGGACCCCCAAGAGGGCCCCAAGACATAAACATAATCCCACCCCACATATTTCCAGCAACATCCGTTTCTTCGTTTTCAGAGCGTCCCGCACCGCCCAGGAACCTGCCGAGGTCGCCCCAAGGCGGCCCAAGACCGCCCCCAAACGTTTTAAGAAAGCTCAGGAGCATCCCAAGATGGCCCCAGGGACCCCCAGGACGAGCCCAAGAGACTCCCAAGATGGCCCCATCAGAGGCCCAAGATGAGGAACTCGCAGAGGTTCCCGAGCTCTCCATCCAAAGATGGCCCCAAAGGCCCCCCAATTGCCCGCGAGACGCCCCCCAAGGGCCCCAGGATACCTCGAACAAGCTTTCGAGAGGCTCCCAATGGCCCCATCTGCCCACTGAACAACGCCTCGCGGAGTTTCTAGCATGCCTTCAAGAGTAACCCAAATGCACTCGCAGGTCGCCAATACCATCGCCAAGAAGCCCAGCCGCCTCTGAGCGACAGCGCGCGGCCCCTGGCCCAGCTTACTTCCGCCGCGGACCGATCGCGCGCGGTTTCGCGGCCAGCCGCCCTCCAGGGCCACGGAAACAGCCCCGCCAGGGGGAAAATAGTCTCGCTCCGAAGGCCGGAGCGACGTTCCAGGTCAAGCGCGCGCCGTCGTTTGGACACCTCCCAGAGCATTCGGAGGCCCCCCATGGCTCCTCGACCTTTCGGAATGCCCCCCAGGCCCAAGAGGCGTTC